CAGTGCACTAATATACAATAAATCCATTCTATCTTTTATTTACTTGCAACTATTTGGCTCTAATTGTTCAATACTGTTTCACTGATTACAGAAAGTAACTCTTTCTGTCCTTCCAATTTGCCCTTATATACTTTGGAATAAAATAAAGCAGTTGACACCAGATTGAGGAGTCAAGGCTATTTTATTCACCCATTCATTTGTAATTGTTGGTAAGATTTCTTTTTTATATGGGTTGCTGTAAATGTCAAGGTTTTAAATAAATTCTTTGCAATTCAAATGTTTGTGTTTTTTTGTAACATGTTACTGCTCTGGAAATGCACTTGATGTGAAACTCTAACAATTCCAAAGGAGGTTTTGTAGACAAATTCATGGGTCTGGTGTGAACATGCTTAACATGTTGATGGCCATGTCTAGGTACTATTCACCATTTGGAGCAGGGGAATTTTGGATATAACTTGAATTAAGCAATTGCTTCAAAACCCAGTCAAAACTGTTCAAGTGAACACATGACCCGTTAGGTGTTTAACCCTTTCACTCCCATAAGTGACCAAGACAGAATTTCTCCTTGCAATGTCAATACAATATCAAGCAGGCAGGTGATGAGAATAGAGAAGAATATCAATTATGGGATTATTAGTTGATCCAATACCAAATTCTCTGAACTAACATCATAAGAATTGTGTGGCAGATAGTAAGGAGAATTACTAATTAGATCTTGGGAGTGAAGGGGTTAATTATTAGTATTACACTGTGCCAAATAGCTTGCCTTACAGATTTTGTTTAAAATTAAAAAAAGTATTTCTCCTCAAGTTGCCTCCATTTCCAGTCTCTCCACATTTCATAATGATGGCAGAACATCTCTGCATACTATAAAATAATGAAAATAATAATGATATTCCCCTAAACTACTTAACATGTTACAAGAACATCTCTGCATAGTATACAATAATAATAATAATAATATTTAATAATAATAATCATAACAATAATAATAAAGTAAGAGAAAACTTAAGCAGAAGAAAACCATAAATCACTCACAAATTCTGCATACCTCATATGCAGCATCTTTGGGAGGCTTGAAGAGCTCATACAGGACGAAATCTTTATCATCTGGTTCACTGGCTGTAAAAAAGTACAACAATGCTTTCTTTATCTTCATAATCCTCCTCAAAATCCCCTGATTCATACTTTGCCTATACTTGCACTGCTGTCTTCACCAGCACAATGCACAAAACAGTATTTGCCAGTTTATCATAAACATATTTCTGGCATCTATTGAAGCTACAATCTGCTAAATAAAATAAAGTTCTTGTGAATAAGTAATAGCTATATAAGATTGCTACCTTAAACATACATTTATTGATAAACTCTTTACACCCTGACATCAGTTTGCATATTCTCCATACTGTTCTCTATACATTTCCTAAGGTGCTGATGAGGAGAATTTGTTTAAAAATCAAGAGCTTTATAAGTTGTTGGTCATATCCTTGATTCTTGTAACTTTAATGCTTGATTCAGGTGTGATATTGTATGGAGAAATTAGAAGCTGGTCACTCAGGGGTTAAAGGGTCAAGATTTTTTCTTTCATTAATGTATTGCAAACTGTACATCACTAGTAAAACAGATCCTATTTAATGGTTCTGTGATGACCTCTCTACAAGTAACTGGAATTGAGGCAATAGAAAATATTTTTGCATGCTCAGTGTATTGTAGCATGATAGTATTTAAAAGTTTCCTGTTTCTAAATTCCAGCAGTGGATAACTCTTGTATTCCAGCATTGTTATTTTCCAGCCCCTCTCAGCTGTTCTCAGTTTCTCAGCAGGAGTTAACTGTTGTATTCCAGTACTGTTAATTTTAAGGCCCACACAGCTGTTCTGAGATTACCAGCAAGGAATAAATATTCTTTTCCAGTACTTACTTGTATTTTCCAGCCCCTGTGAGCTGTTCTGTCCTTTCTGTTTTCCAGCTGGAGGTAACTGTTATTTCTAAGCACAATTATTTTCTAGCCTTTCTAGGCTGATTGGAGTTTTCCTGCTCAAGTTAACTGTTATTTTCCATAAAAACTGAATAATGTACATAAGGACCCAGGCATGAAGCGAAGAAACTTTCCTTGGAAACCTTGGAAACAAGACAATAATGTTTTTAATTGCTCAGATCAAAACTAAAAAATTTAATTGATTGTTGAAAACAATGATATGTAATGTTATATAATGTTAAATGTTACATAATGTTGGAAATATCAAGGCCAACAGTAATTTTTTGAACATAAAAATTTAATAAATTGACACCTGTGGAGTATGTAGCTTCACTTATGAATGAGACAAGAATGTGCTTTTAAATTTCCATCATACCTGAATAATGTCTGTGTAAAATTTGAGCTCAAATGTAGTATTTTTAACTTATAAACCTACTCCTGGTAGGCCCTGGCAACCTATCTTTACATGTAACTGCCAATAAAATAACCCTCCATTTTTATAAAGATCTGAGTAAGCTTTTAAGGCCTTCCTATCATTTTTAAAAGCATGGCCTTGCAAACTTTTTCTTTTAGCTCCACTGATAAAAAAAAACATTTAGGGAAAGTCATCTCATTGACAAGCACAACTAGTGCTTAAATACTCAGTTGGCAATTGACTGAGACACCATTAGCACCACAATAAAAAAGCAAGAACCCTCAACTGGCTGAAACTTGCATCATTTAGTTTCATACTATTCTTCCTGCATTTCCTGATACATTAACCTCTATTTAGTGGACACCTCTTTAACACAGAACCAGGGAAGGTTCCCCAAGGGGTTACCTTTGATACTTTTATAACTATAAAAGTAATAGCTTTCAATGCAGTTTAAAGTGATTTAATATTTTAAATACAGTTAACTTCTCCACTTATCACACAACAGCTGTGCAAAACATGTCAACTGTAAATAACAAACATGGAGACAAATTACTTTCAGTACTTAATAGTGCAAGTAATGTTTTCCTTACCATTATTTTTCTGTATTTTATTTCCATTTACAGAGTCAAGTGGCTGTAGCGAAAAAACAAATTCAAACAGTTTTACCTCACTTCTTAAAGCAAGAAATCACAAGACTAAACAACAAGTGTAGAAACCTAGACATACCTAGGCTAGAACCCTAATTCAAAAATTAAAAAAAAAATGTACCACTGTCTTTGGCACCATCCTGTTCCTCCCTTATTTTCTTTTTTTTTTTTACTTTTCTTTTCTATTAATTTGCAAAAACATACCATGCTTCTTCTCAATGGGAAGAGTTTCCACAACAACCCAAATAACCAGAAAGAGTATTGGCAAGATAGATAACCAAAAGAGTAGTGGTATCAAATTAGAGCTTGTAGCAATTCCCCAACCTGACTATTACACCCCATTCTTTTTCCCCAGGTCTATGTGAACTAGAGTTTGAGCACAGAATGTAATACCTCACCAAACATCCACTAGGATGACTCACTTAAAATTATACTTGATTATTATCTCTTGCCGAGATTGCACACTTCACCTCAATGTTTTTATTACCACAGATGTGGGGGCTTTGGTAAGATTTTGGAGAGGGACAATGTTTGAGCAGCTGGGAGGAACCAAAATGATAGTGTGGTAGCCATTTATTCCCACTTGGATGACAAAGTCTGGGGAACCTTTCCCCGGAAATTTAAAAGTTTGGATGTCCAAAAGGGTCCAATTTTTTAGGCCACTATTTCTCAAGTTGGCTAAAAATTATATCTGCCACGAAGGAGAGTATTGACAGTGATTTAATGAATAGAGTAGCTTTTACATAAAAAACTATATAAACATTATACATAGCAATGTTGTCTTGTAGATGATGTCTGTGTGGTCTTGTTTGATTTTTACCTTTGCCTTGCTCAAAAATATGAAATTGTGCCCAGGACAACATTACATTTTGGGGCACAGTGCTGTTATTTCTGACACAGTATATTTAAAGCCATTACTGATGGTAAAGGAATTAATTGGTACTTCAATGATGAATGTAGAGCACAGCAATCAATTTGAACCATCATACCAAAAAACATGGTGACTGGTACATTCACCCAGAACTCTTTGCACAAGAAAATCCCGGAACCACTCAAAAAATCAAGCAGAAAGGTCTGAAAAATTTAAACTTTGCATACATAATTTTGTTGTTTCGTGAAATATTGCTTTCTACGTGTGCCTTACCCTAAGAATAAAGGTAAAATGTACAGGTGCCATCTTTGTCTGTAATTGGATTGAATCTATTGGGTAAACACCAGAAAAAATAATAATATTGATACAAATAGGCTGAGGGTTTAGTATAGGTATGCTGTGGTTTAGTTTTATCCTTAATTTAATTCTTTTACTTTCAATAGAAGCCAAATTGATAGTGACATATCATCTCACCATAACTTAGGCTAGGAGCTAAATTTTATCTTTCTTTACACAAAATACATTTTTCATTCATATCATTTACAAAACCTAAGGAAACTGATTTTGGTAAAATTTCCGCACAGCCCCATCCTACATTATGCATTCAGTTCTTGAACAGAGAAAACAATGACAAAAACAATACATTTCCGTTGGGAAAACAGATATGTTTTACAATAGTATGGGGCTGTGCGGAAACTTTACCCTGATTTTTACGCCAAGGACAAAAATTAAGCACAAAACATACCTTTTTATAACTAGTGCATCATTTGCCAAGGAAATGTTTACAATGGAGCTTACCACCTCATCGGCAATTTTGTTTACTTTACTTTGCTGCTGGTTCTCATCCACGCCTGTATGAATGATATTAAGAGTGAAAAGATTGGTATTTTCTTCACAGAGATAGTTGCAGAGAGTGTCTTCATTGATATATGTATTACCAAACATTCGTTGACGGAAGATACAACGACGCTACGTTGCGGTTATGTCCTCACACCTTATAACCAATAGAATGCGGTTTTACTTCTTCCAATCAAAGTGCATTGTGATCGTGTCTTCTGCGTTTAACTTCCCAACTAGGGGAGGGTTGCAATGTAAAATTGTAAGATCGCCCTCGAAGTTTGAACAGTTTCATGGGCTATCCTTGTTTCATGGGCTATCCTTGTTTCATGGGCTATCCTTGTTTCATGGGCTATCCTTGATGCCTTTAAGGACACTTTGGATTGATGAAAGAGTAAGATTCTGGTAGCGTTTTTAAGTGCGAGTTATTAGCGAAGCTTTCTTCGTTACGTTGGAAAGCTTAGGAAGACGAGAATTTGGCATTGCCTCGTGGCTTTTCTCATTGGTTTGGAGTGCGCTGGTGATCGAAGTTGTGCTTTTCTGTTGGAGCTAGTACAGTAAGGTAAGGATTTTTCGTTGCATTTTATGCTAGTATTTTTGTTAAATTTAAATATTACAACCATTCTTCAAAGATCGCGTGCAAGTTTTGGGTAAAATACTTGTAGATTTTATGTGGCTGCACGATAAAGTTTACGAGTAACTTCTGACCTAGATTCATTGAATCCTTCTGTGTCGAGGGCTGATTTTTTTATTTTTTTGGGACATGCAAAACTAGATGTTACATAATTCAAAAACAGGACAGATCACGGTGTTTCAATGACCAAAAACTTGTGATTTTCTTCCGGCCTCATAACAATTTGTATTGATTAACCTACATGTAGCAATCTCAAAGTGTCTACACTGGTGGCTAACATGGATACAGTGAAAGACATGTACTCGTTGTAAATGTATGGGACTACACAAAAATTCAACTTGGATGTATGATCGATGTCAAACATCACATATCCTGGAAAGTTAACTAATACAAACTGCTTACACGTATGATGAAGATCTGGTCTCTTTTATAAAGGATAGGGTGTTGTCTCCCAATGATCTTAGAAAGTAACAGTTGGGTTACAATGCGTTAAATCATTCTCTTTGCTCACCCACAAGGGCACAAATCTGAAGCAAAATTACTCTTCACTTAATAATTAACAATTACCTTGCTTTCTTGAGCTGTACTGGGGAATATTGGTACTATGTCATTTCTATACTGCCACAACCTTGGGCTAATATTCCCCAGTAAAGCCCTGGTGCTTAACTGGTTAGTTAGAAGTTAGTACTGGCTTTTGTAAAAATAATCTACAGTGTACTTGTATCTCAGGCTATTTTAAATTCCAGTACAATTGATTTCTTTGTTATTCTATGTTTATTGAATTTATTTGTACATGAAGACAGCCAGCAAGGATAATTTGATATTTAAAAAACAAGCCATCTTGATTATGAGGAGAATTAAAGTTAGCATCAAAGACAAATCAATTTTGTGCAAAAACCAATGTAAACATGAAATGATTGCAAAAACAATGAGTTAAATGTACATATACTAGTAAACCACAAATGTGAGCACCTGTGCCAAATTGAAATCCCTTTCAACATACCTCAGCATGCATAAATGTATATATTTCACTGTTTTTCCAGCAATAAGTGTAACAGTTGAACTAACACTCACCTATACCAATATGGGTATCAGCTCAACTGTAGGAAATTGAATTAAAGAAATATATCTTTAATAAGTTTTGACCAATAATCCTTAGTATTTAAAAATCAGATAGGAGAATTTTTCTTTGGTGTTGTAAAATTTGTTTCTTATGAGAAAGGATTCAGCATAAACTCTCCCCTCTTGCAGAGACATGGTGGTCTTATGATTAGTGAGGTAGACTCACGGTCAAGAGGTCTACATTTGTAGCCTGGCCTGGCCTGGCCTGTACTGGACTCAGGGTCAAGAGGTCTGGGTTTCAGTCAATGTGTTGGGTTCTTGTGCAAAACACTTTACTCTTACAGTGTCTGTCTCCACCCAGGAGTATAAATGGGTAGCAAAAATTAGTTAGGGAAACCTGATAAAATGCTAGGGGGGTGAAGGGAGGGAGGGGAATAACAGTGGAATGGACTTGCAACCTGTCCAGGGTTGGGTAGTAATACTCCCAGTTGCTTCATGTGAGGAAACCAGGATTAATTAAAGCACAGGCCCTGGACAGGCCGCTCTTCAAATCCAGACGCGATCTAACTACCTACCACCTCTTAGTTTAAATGATTTAAATTGCTACTGTTACAAATTATATGAACTTGAAACACACACATGTTGATTTTTGCCCAATTTATTTCAGTTAATTGGGAATGTCTTTTGTAAATCTTGAAATTTATTGTAATGAGAAGTGAATTACTGTTCATTTAAATATTAATGCTTGTTTTCTTTTGTACATAATTATATCTTTTGTTCTTTTACTGCTTTAAATATGCTATTAATATTAATTGCTTGTGATTTTGTGTCTATGTATCCCTCCCATTCTCAGAGGGGAAAAGATACTTAGTTTACAATTGGGTAATATGTTGAGCTAATTTTTTACCATTTGCAACCATCTTTTTTTCAGGCCAAGATGACTTAAAACAGCAACTTTTTGAAAGAAGTATTCCCTTACAGTTGCTATGGCTAAAGAAAGAAGTCAAATTAAGGTTCCATCTGAAAATATAGACTTGCCTAACATAGAGAATGCTCCAGATTTTGATGAGGACACTTTACGAGGTGAGCTAGGTTCAACTTTGGCTTCAATCACTGGGTTAAAACATTTTCTATTTCACCAGTTTCAAGAATGTGGAGAATGATATTAATGCACTGCATGACCACTCTAAAGGATATTTGGCCAGTTATGACTCTCTTCTATGATTACAATATGCTGTTCATTGACTGAGAGGATCTATGACATATTTGTTAGTTTCTTTTCTCAAAGTTCAAAGCAAGTACACAAAGTTATAATTAGTAAAGACTTTATTTGATCATCATATAACATCCATTTTGTAAGTTTGCATCATAAGTACCATCATCATCTTTCCATTATATTATGCAACAATCCATTGAAAGTTTCAACTTCCCCCAAGCAACCAATTTCCAGTAGAGTGCAAGTGTTATATCATTGAATATGGAGGTGTTTAACCCTTGACACCCTAACATCAGTATCCATATTCTCCATACTATTCTTTGTATGTTTCTTTTGGTACTGAAAAAGAGAATTCATTTGAAGATCAATGCTTCTTAAGTTGGTGATCATTGGTCACTCTTAGGGTTTAAAGGGTTAAGGTAGTGTATTGTTTGTGAACACATCCTCTAAGCTTTTCAGGGATGGGTCAAGTCAGGCAGGTGCAAAAGTGGTCACTGGCACAAGAGGAAAAATCTTCAGATTTTAAATCTCCAGATCTTGGCAGCTTTGCTTATACACTAATTAACTACAACCACAGATAATTATTAACTACAACCACAGACCTCAACAAAATAATTTTTTATTTTTTCTTTGCAGCCGCAGCTGCTGGTTATAGGAATGAGGGTAATGAGGCCTTCAAGAAAGGAGATTTCATCAATGCTATTCATTTTTACACCAAAGGAATTAAAATGAACTGCAACGAAAAAGAACTGAAGGCCAAACTGCACAACAACAGGGCTATTGCACATTCTAAACTTGGTAAGATGATGAGAGCTTTAATATGTATTTTTTTTCTATTTTGAAGCTATTGAGTTGTCAGTAGTAGTTTTTTGAAAAAGGTGATAATTTTGAATGCATGCCCGGAAAAATATACATCTTATCTTGGCCTCTCAAATATACAAATAAGTAACCTCTTACCCTAGATATCAATGAGCATCACAAGTTTTTCCCAAAATTATAGTAATGGTAGTTGGTTTGCAACATGTATGGCTAATTAGAGATATTTATTTCTGCAATAACAGGAAATCACCAGGATTCACTAAGGGATGCAGAAGCAGCCATTGAGTTAAATCAAACATTCCTTAAGGCAATTGTGAGAGGTTAGATATGTTAGCTGTACTATAATAATAATAAAAAAAGAACTCAACACTCTAAGGTTAAATGAGGTTAAATGGAGTTCAATCTTGTCTCAATTGACTTTAATTAAGAGGTCAAGACCACCCTGATGTACATTTGAATCCAGCTCTTGACTGTTACGCCATTACTTTGCATTAATCATGATGAGAATATTATTTTGAATGGGATGAAGAACTCAATGCGGAATGCAAAGCAAAATTTCAGCATGAATATTTTAGTTCCTTAAGTTCAATGAGTCACAGGTGTCAGATATGTTAAGAGCGTGTCCACGAGAGCACCGGGCAGTCGTGCTACATGCCATCTCACCGATTTCAATGAAACTTTGCCAGTTTAAAAGGTCTACCCAAAACTCAAAAAGACAAACTGGTTTCTGTTGTGGGTTTTTTCTGGGGGGAGATAGACCACCCCCCGGTTTTTCTTGGTTTTCACTAAGGAAATCGCTTCAAATAGGTAAAATGTATGAAGCTCTCACTGCGATGGTATTTAACCGATTATTTTGAGGATTTGCACACATATTTGTACATCCTTAGTAAATATCTGCTGCGAGTATCAGTCAGTTTGATTGACGGCTTGTCAATCAACAGAGGCAAATATACGACAGTGTTTTTAGACTTTTCGATTTATCCAAATATTTGACAACTTTGAGGTCAAATATCTCCCATTGCCAGAAAGCTACAACACTAATCTCAATTACCCTTTATAACCCATCATTTCATCTCTGAAAATCATCAAAAAACTATTTGGGTACTACCGTATTTTTGTCTTGGATGCCTTTTAAAATCTGCGACTGTGACAAGTTTCTCTTAACTACACCTGTCACGCAATTCTTGCTCTAGGCGGTCACTTGACAAAATAAAGCTTCATTTTTTAGCTCTTTATACAAGATGATTGATCAAGAAAGGTGAAAAATGTGAAAAACTTTCGAGAAAAACTTTCGAGATACATGTAGAGGAAAAATCAATGGGAAAATCGTAGCGTTTCTTTCTTCAGTCGTTTATTACTTTTAAGATTTGCTAAAATCAGCAGATATGGCTTTTGTACGGCACAAAACATTCATTAGTCTATAATTTGATTGTATATCATCATCATTGCTCATTTTAGGAGATTTTAAAGTTACATGCTGCGTGTTGGCTGATATTACTACATGTTCCAGTGTGCTACAACTTCGGCTTTGGCAGACGAGAAATTCTGCGCTCTCGCTTGAGAGCAAATATCAATAGTTCTATCGGACTAAAAACTGTGCTTCTATCCCGAAAATAAAATTCAAATAGTGTTGACGTTGTCACTTTCCGCCATCGAACATTTACATGCAGAACTCCGCAATGCTAACATCTGTTGTGTGACCCGAAGACTCTCCGTAGGAATTATTCAAGCGCGTTGTTCATGCTATCTGCTAGATAACAATTTCAGAATAATCTGCAGATCTCTATGATTATTTACCTGCTTCGATCGTAAAATATCTTCATATTTTTTTCAAGCATTCTATTACTACATATAAATCTACATCACTTTAAGTATGTCTTAGATATACTTTCAACACGTTTTCCCTTACCACCCTCTTTTATGTCTGAACGTTTTCTTACTAATTTTATGGCAGACCTGCCTCATCAAGGAGGGTATGTATGTGCTCAAAACAAACTCGGAAAAAAAGATTCCTTTAACAAACACTACATGTTTGATTGAAGAATGTCAAAACAGATCAAGGATATCAGTTTCCTTACCATGGCGTCCAGGGCACACACAAAATCCAACTTCTCACGTACTCCTGCAATGTTCAAAGAGCCGTTGAAGTTAAACTCCCTTTGAAAAGTAAGCGCGAGTCAGAAAAGAAAAGAAATGAGAGCTTGGCAATCGACATTTAATGCACATCATAACACTACTTAATACTATTAAAATTCAGGCTCACCAACACGTGCAAACTGTGGTAAACCGGGAGGCCGGTAAACCGTGGTAGAATCCAGTCTCGCTATTTTAATCAACACTATCATGAACGAAAACGAATAAATGCAATATCGGCAGGAAAAAAAAGAGGAGAAACTTACCGAATTGGCTCCGCTTTACGGCAAGGCGAAGTGAAGACTCTTCCACACAGCGACTACACTATGTAATGGTTTCGCGACAGTCTCCACATTCGATGATGTCATGCCCCCAGCAGATCGCTGTTCCATTTGCGGTTTGTATTTTTGGTGGTTTCGGCAAGATGCCTTGGCGGCCGTCACCACCAAAAATACAAGGATGTCGTATAGATCAGCAAATACAAAGATGGCTTAAGGATCAGCTACAGGATAGCATAGCTAATAAAGGAATGGCATGGCCTTCACGTCACGCCATGACGAATCGCCACAACATCGAAATATTTCAAGTACTACTAAGCAATTTAATGTTCAGATAGAGCGTCTGATGTTTTGCAAAGCTATTCGACCTAACGCTACACTATTTGTGTCTCTGCTGTACCATTCTACATTACGCTGAGCCATTTCACGCAACGGTACACCATTTGTGTGTACGCTGTACCATTCGACATTATGCTAAGCCACTTCACGCAACGCTACATTGTTTGTATGTACGCTGCACCATTTGACATTACGCTAAGCCATTTCACGCAACGCTAAACTGTTTGTATGTACGCTGTACCATTCGACATTACGCTGAGCCATTTCACACAACGTTACACTGTTTTTATGTACGCTGTACCATTCGACATTACGCTGAGCCATTTCCCGCAGCGCTTCACCATATGTGTGTACGCTGTACCATTCTACATTACGCTGAGCCATTTGACGCAACGCTACACAGTTTGTGCGTAGGCTGTGCTACTCGACGTTACCCTGAGCCGTTTAACGCAACGCTACACCGTTTGAGTACTGTATTGCAAATGAGTGCTACGCTATTCGTAATTGAGCTAGTCCATTTCACAATCTCATGTTCCAACTCAACATGGGCTACTAGACCGTTTCTCATTTGGCTAAACTATTCATGTTTATGGTTTTCTGTTTCACAAAGGAAAACTAAACTGTCTATAATTTGGCCATGCCATTCCTTTATTAGCTAATAGATGCTATTCTGCAGCTGATCCTTACACCATCTTTGTATTTGCTGATCTATTTGACATCCTTGTATTTTTGGTGGTGACGGCCGCCCATAATTCTATTACTACATATAAATCTACATCTCTCTAGATCGAGTGTTGCCGGCGTTTAATTGCGTGACTTGTAAAATTTTTAAATAAGAATGAGCCAGCAGTAATTTGACGAGTAGGCTTCCTGCAAATTTCCCATGATGAAATCCCAAGAGATAGCCAGTTGTTTTCGTGAGCAAAGACGATAAATATGAAAGAAAAGTGAGATGCAAATGTCTTTTTTTTTTTTTAGCTTAATAGCAGCTGTACCCTCTCCTGCAGTCTTCGTCTAAATTTTGCAAGGTCCCTCCTTATCTTCTGCCTTGTTCGGTCAGTTTCGAATTCTGTAGCTAGATCATTGGCATCGGCCTCTCCGTCCTCATTCATATTTACAGAGGGGGACCTCATCAATAAACCTCTTTTTGTTAAGGCAGATAAGCGGCTGAAGTATCGGGCGATTTGCTGCTGTATGAACCGGTAAGTCTTAGACAACATTTCTGGCTGGTGTCGTCTCTTAAATTCGATATTTGGGAAATCACATTCCAAAGTCCACTTGGCTAGTTAGGGATTGTTCGTCAGAATTTTTACCTGAGGTCTGACCTTGAACGTAGCCATCCCCTATAGAATGGCAAGCCGGTCTTAGTCCATTTCCTCTTGATCTTATCCTAGGCGGAATTTTTTTGTCGGCTTCACTGAGTTTGTCTTTGTCAGGGTACATTTGGATGGCACCCAATGACTGAAACGTCTTGATATATCCTTCTTTTAGCAAGAATATCTCGCTTTCTTGTTCCGTCTATGACGGATTGGGTATAGTTCTCGCGATGACCCGCGTTCAGAAATCTGTACACGTTGCTGATAACCACCCACTTCTACGATTAGTTTGCTGAAGGTTTCTAATGTGATGAGCCTAGTGAGACCCTGAGGTGCTTCAAACTGTGCCAGTTGGTCTGCGCTATAAACTTGTCGCAAGTCAGAGGGAGGATCGGCCACCTCTATCTATGTGAGCGCCTCTACAGTACCTGTGTATCCCCAGCAATCATATGATATAAAGTTCATCTCAGTCACAATTAACCATTTAGGAAAACTGATGGTTAAATAAGCGCTCTTCTTGCCCTTCTTCCTTATTCATTGCCGACTCTAAGATAGCAGCTACAGTACGCGTTCTATTTAGGTCTACAGTCACCTTGCCGCCACCAGGAAGACTCGCCACCAGCTTTGATTTCTTCTGCCATCTGCAGATTCACCTCTTTCTCACTTTATGTCACCGATTTTTATGAGGAGGATACTGGCATTTACGAACCCGAGGGTCTGAATCTCACACCAAGTTGTGCACGATATTTGAGGTATATCGTGAAATCGCGGCCTTCGTAATCTCCAAATAAGCCAATACGCGCTAGAATAAGCTTCATCTCGGACGAAACGAATGTTTGGGATACATCGACGTCTCTCAAATGTTTTTTTTTAAGCTGTATACCCACGAATTTAGAGGTATGAGCTGTTGCCGTCCCTGGCCAGCGCGACAAAAATAACATTTGGTTCTACAGTTAGTTGCAAATGAACAAGACAACTGCACCATCTTGACTTTATCAATTCGCGTGTTAGATTGAATTGAAGGTTTTTTAGACACTCGATTTCTTACATGGCATCACTATGAAGATGTAATACAACTGATACACCTACACTACATAGGATTAACAATGTCTGTTGCGCTGTTACGAGAAGGAGGAAAATATTACCGGAAGTGTAAACTCTTTTTAAAAAGAGTTTCAGAGACGTTTCAGAGATGTCTGTGTGAGAGATTATTCAGCGTTAATTGATTTCCGGTTGACTTTTTGCGATAAGTGACAGATGATTGAACAATAGGATCATATTATATATTTAAAATGAGAGAGACCAGAGCGAAAGACAGAGAACGGTGAGAGAGAGCGGGAGATTAAGTTGATTTTATAAAATAAAACGTGAAGTTTCGGAACATAGCAGATTCTTTAGTCTCATTTCCGACACAGTGGCACCTCCGACGGGACGCGCGAAGCATGGAGGAACTAACCAAAGAAGCAGAGGCTAAATTGCAGATGTTGCTGTACACTAATGGAAAAACACGTGGCATTGTGGAAAAGGGAAACCTAGGAGCGGTCGCGCGACATCGCGACAACCTACAAGCATTAGTAAAAGAAGTAGACGCGCTTAAACTAAAGGTTGAACAGACCATGTTCAAGGCCGGGAAAAGTGCAGAAGACGTTGGAAGTTGGAGCAGTAGCATTGAAGAACCGATCGCCGAAGCTGACGAAGAAGTTTCGCGACTAGAAAAATGGTTCGTGGAGACGAATGGAGAGATCGAACATCGAAAGCACAAGGACGAAGAAGAAAGGAAAGCCCGTGCTCGTGAAGAGGAGCTTAAATTCGAAAGAGAGCAAATGGAGATGAAGCTAGAATTCGAACGCCAACTGGAAGAGACCAAGGCAAAACAGCAACCTGTTGAGAAGGTTAATCAGACTGAACAAAGGACAACAAAGCTACCGAAACTACAGATCACAAAGTTTAATGGGACGTATGAAGCATGGCTGCCGTTCTGGAACAAATTTCAAGCTGAAATTGATAAAGCAAACCTTGCATCTGTGACCAAGTTTGCATACCTAAAAGAGCTGGTAGATCCAAAGGTTCGAGCGGAGATAGACGGACTGCCTTTCACAACAGAGGGCTACGAAAGGGCAAAGAATATCCTCATCGGCGAATATGGAAAAACGAGCGAGATCGTGAATGCGTACGTCCAGAACATCGCGAATTTGCCTGTCATTACAGGAACACAACCTGCGCCTATCCACGAATTTTACAAGAAGCTCGTGTACAATGTGCAATCTTTGGAGACACTGGGCAAATTGAAAGACGTCACTGGAAATGTAAGGAGTGCTCGACAAACTAAAGGGTGTAAAAGCAGATCTAGTGAGAGGACAAGTGGACTGGCAGGACTGGGACTTCCCACAGTTGATAAAAGCTTTGAAAAGTTGGAAGGAAATCAACCCCATTGGGAGCGGCGCGGATAATGCGGGGAAGCAAGGTGCTAAATTCCGCGATCGCGAGAAAACATTTCACGCAAACGAAACTACGCCAACACAAAGAGGGTGCGTCTACTGTGACGCAACTGACCACAGAGCTGTGAATTGCGACAATTTTGTGACAGTTGGAGACCGCAGGAAACAATTAGGACTGAAACAGCTTTGTTTTAACTGCACAGGAAGTCGGCACCGTGCTTCTGAGTGCAAATGCCGTTCTGGCTGCCAGATCTGCAGTCGAAGACATCATACGTCGATCTGTGACAAACATACATCGCGAGACCAGCTGATGACCACAACGAGCGCAGAAAGGAAAGGAGTGGTGTATCCTATGGTAACAGTTGACGTGAACGGTGTTAAATGCCGAGCATTGTTGGATACAGGAGCCGGAAGTTCCTACGCTTCATCAACGCTTCTGAACTGTTTACATTTGCGCCCTATCCGTCAACAATTCAAGCGCATTGAAATGATGTTTGGTACTTCAAACAAAGCGATAGACATCTATGGCCTACAAATTCGAAGCGTTGATGGTAAATTCACCTTGGAAGCCGAAGTAAACAAAGTCGACCGCAAAGAGTTGTTGACATTGGAAAACCCAAAATGCGCAGAAATCGTGGCTCAGTTTTCTCATTTGAAGGGCGTAACCACAAATGATAACGACGAGAAAGCGATGTTGCCTGTTCATCTGATCCTTGGAACAAACGAGTACGCTAAGATCAAAACAGGGGCAAGACCAAGAGTTGGGCGCTCGGGAGAACCAGTAGCAGAATACACGAAGTTCGGCTGGACGATCTTGTCACCTGGAACAGAGTTGGATCTCAGCAACATGTTGTTAACGCAGACCTCTGCAATTGATTACGAAGAATTGTGCAAGTTAGACGTCTTGGGGTTGAAGGACAATCCAAGTGGAGACCAGGAAACCGTTTACGAAGAATTCAAAGAGCAACTAACTAGGAGTTCAGAAGGCTGGTACGAGACGAACTTGCCCTGGAAAGGAAATCACCCCCCCCCCCTACCGAACAATCACACTGGAAGTTTAAAACGTCTCAAAAATCTCGTGCGGAAGTTAGAGATACAAGGCGAGCTGGAGAGGTACAACAACGTTATCCAGACTCAACTGAGCCAAGGGATCGTAGAACACGCTGACGAGGTGGTCAAGGACGGAAAAGAGTTCTACATTCCTCATAAAGCGGTCGTACGCGAGAATGCAGAATCTACAAAGATACGCATTGTTTATGATGCTTCTGCAAGAGCTGATGCAAGTGTCCCCTCACTCAACGAGTGCCTCGAAATCGGCCCTCCACTACAGAACCAGCTTTGGAACGTGCTGGTACGAAATAGGTTCTATCCGTGGCAATAGCTGGCGACTTAAAACAAGCATTTTTGCAAATTCGCGTCCGAAGAGAAGACCGAGATGCCTTACGCTTTCATTGGATAAAGGATCTGGCAAGCAAACAAGTAGAAACCTTGCGATTCACTCGAGTACTTTTTGGTTTGGCACCGTCTCCATTCCTCTTGGCCGCAGTTATCAAAGAACATCTACAGCGATACAAAATGGTGAACCCGGAATTAGTAGAGGAGATAGAGCGCAGTATGTACGTGGATGATTTAATCAGTGGTGGGGAGACAACAGAACAAGCGTTAGAAATCAAGATGACAGCCACGACCATCTTTGGTGAGGCGACTTTCAAGCTGCACAAGTGGCATTCCAACGATCGGGAACTAGAAGTTGAAACTGCGACTGTAGATGAAGAAATTCAGAGTTACGCCAAACAACAACTGGGAACCAGAAAGGGCGAATCAAAACTGCTAGGAGTCCCTTGGGACAAAGAAAAGGACGAAATTCAAGTCAGCTTCCCGATTTCAACCGCTGAGCCGACAAAAAGAGGTATCCTTGGAAAAGTCGCAAAAATCTACGATCCACTCGGTCTGGCTTCACCCGTGACCCTCTCTGGAAAAATGCTCTACAGAGATGCCTGCGACACGAAGATCGCATGGGATAGGCCCTTACCAAGTGACTTACAAGCCAAAACAGAAGGAAAGGCCTATCTTGCATTGTACGCGTGCAGTCTTACCCGAGGATTATTCCTGGAAGTACTACCAAACCTGGCAACCAGTGAATTCCTAAGAAGTCTAAAACGGCTCATCGCGCGCCGTGGGCGTCCGAAGAAGATATATTCCGACAATGGCAAAACCTTTGTTGGCGCCGAGAAGTGGCTCAAACAAGTTATGCGTGACGAGAAGACACAAGATTACTTAGCACATGAGAACATCAAGTGGCAATTCAACCTCAGCCGCGCCGCCTGGTGGGGAGGACAGTTCGAGCGCCTCATCGCACTGGTAAAAACAGCTTTAAACAAGACTATCGGATGCGGAATGTTGACCTGGACAGAGCTGTGTGAAGTGGTACTAGATGTGGAGATTGCTTTGAATAATCGCCCTTTATGTTACGTCGAAGACGACATACAGTTACCCGTGCTTACCCCTAACTCACTGCTATTTCTTCGATCAAACCAGCTACCAGAACTGGAACCACACCATCTAAGAGAATTTGATCTGCGTAGAAGAGCTAAATATTTGCGAAGGTGCAAGCAGGCTTTGTGGACCAGGTGGACTACTGAATATTTACGAGGGTTGAGAGAACGACACCGGATGAAACACAAGGGTCAAACCACGCCCTTGGCCAAAGGAGAGGTAGTCATCATCAAGGACGAGGAACGAAATCGCAATAAATGGAAAATTGGAATCGTGGAAGATCTGATTCCGGGACGAGACGGAATCGTTCGAGCTGCCAAACTTCGAGCGGGGAAAGGAACACTTGAACGGGCGGTACAACACCTTTACCCACTGGAGCTGTCCTGCGATCGGGAGAATGTACAGGCTCCTCTGCAGCTCAACCCCTTAGCCCCGACATTCAGGCCCAGGAGGGATGCAGCGGTAGCCGCTCGTTATCGCATTCAAGATGCGAACATTGATGCCGATTAGAGATATTTAGGAACACTGAACTGATATGCTGGACTAACTTTCTGTTTCGTTCATTGAATTTCAAATTTTATCGAGCGCGCCATTCTAGTGTTTTTCTCCGTTGAGAAAAACAGGGGAGTGTGTGAGAGATTATTCAGCGTTAATTGATTTCCGGTTGACTTTTTGCGATAAGTGACAGATGATTGAACAATAGGATCATATTATATATTTAAAGTGAGAGAGACCAGAGCGAAAGACAGAGAACGTTGAGAGAGTGCGGGAGATTAAGTTGATTTTATAAAATAAAACGTGAAGTTTCGGAACATAGCAGATTCTTTAGTCTCATTTCCGACACTATCTTTGATCGGCTGTCACAAAAAAATGACCCCCACTTAAATTTACTAGGAAAAATGAACTTACCAACTCCTTGTTGAAAAAATTGGAATTCATTTGACCGATGCGCCGGTTGTTTCAATTTTTCTTTTTCCTCGGGCTGCTATGAAACAGTTCAGAAATTGACTAATGAGTAAAGTGTTTTGAAATACCGTTCGGAATTTGCCTTTTTTTCTGCCTGCAAATCAAGGGTAGACAAAGTTTTTAAAACATTTGACTAGAATTTCATGGAGTTCACCTCGATAATTTTCGTCGGCCAGAGTCAAGACGCGCCAAGGTAAGCGACATCGCCCTTTAGTAAAATAATTTTCCAAAGAATAAACGTGGCGAGGGTGAGGAAACGCACATTTTTTTTTTATCATTGTGATCAAAGCCCAATGATGTACCTAAATTGGTACTTACGGTATCAAACCATTGATTATGACAGGGTGAGCTTAATTTTTCTGTCGAGGTCGACGTGACTTCACATTAAAAGCGTTTTTGACGGAACAAACTAGTGAGCATCACTGCAAGAACTGAGAACGTAAAAACTTGTATTTATCTCCCACGCGTTTCGTCTGACAATAGTAGACTTCATCACGGATTTTTTCAAGTAGGGTAAATAAGCTTGCTCATATACAAATAGTAAATAAGTTGTCTCTTTGCTATTGAAGCCAGTGGATAGAATTAGCCAGGTGCGCCTACGGTGTTATACATGCGTGACATTTTCCGGACGTTACATGTACGAGTACGTGATCCGTTTGAGGGTCACAGATTTAGTCTAAATATTTCACCCCTCAACATCACGCAATGTCTCTAGTTTACAGAGGTCTTAGAACGTTTCATTATATGGAGTTGCCTTCTGCGGGTAGAAGGCTACAAGCGAATTTATCAGGCGTAATTGCCTTTGATTTCTCAATTGATGTTCTCGCATACAAGTAAAAACTTGTATTTATCTCCCACGCGTTTCGTCTGACAATAGTAGACTTTATCACGGATTTTTTCAAGTAGGGTAAATAAGCTTCCTTATATAAATATAGTAAATAAGTTGTCTCTTTGCTATTGAAGTCAGTGGATAGAATTGGCCAGGTGGGCCTACGGTGTTATACATGCGTGGCATTTTCCGGACGTTACATGTACGAGTACGTGATCCGTTTGAGGGTCACAGATTAAGTGTAAATATTTCACCCCTCAACATCACGCAATGTCTCTAGTTTACAGAGGTCTTAGAACGTTTCATTATATGGAGTTGCCTTCTGCGGGTAGAAGGCTACTAGCTCGCACGTGCACGCAGGAAAGGCCATGACAATCAGCGAAAATAATAGCAAATGCAAATGATATTTGCAGTCAAAAAACAGGAAAATAAGATAAAAGAAGGATTAGGAACTTTCTAGAAGTGTCTTCTTGAAAAAAAAAGATGAACAATTTTTACTTCTCATGAAAGGTCACGCAGTAACCCTAAAAATACTACAACTACAATACTATGCGTGGAATTTCTTGATGGTGGAAAGTGGAAAAAACATTTTCCAGTCTTCCAGTCATTTTCTGGAAACATGACGTAGTTAATGAATTTATGAGGCTACTGGTACTGGCTCCTACCAAATAAGGGGGGCAGAGTTTCCCGTCATTCGCGGTATGGAAAAGCCGAAGTTGTTACACTCGGGAACTTGTACGTCAACAAGCAGGCGACATGTGACTTTAAAATCTCCTCTCCTGTTACAGTTTCCTTATTGTAAACTGTGCGATGATAATAATAGACGATCAAAGTATAGGCTAATGAATGTTTTGTTCTGTACAAGAGCCCTATGTCCTGATTTTAACAAATCTTAAAAGTAATAAACGACTGAAGAAAGAAACGCTACGATTTTGCCATTGGTTTTTCGTCTACATGCATCTCTCTAAACGTGAAATTTTCCATTCCTACAAAAAATCCCGAAAGTTTTACCATTTTTTACCTTTCTTGATCAATCATCTTGTATAAAGAGCTAAAAAATGTAGGTTTACTTTGTCAAGTGACCGCCTAGAGCAAGAATTGCGTGACAGGTGTAGTTGAGAGAAACTTGTCACAGTCGCAGATTTTAAAAGACATCCAAGACAATACGGTTGTGCCCACATCTTTTTTTGATGATTTTCAGAGATGAAATGATGGGTTATAAAGGGTAATAAAGATTAGTGTTGTAGCTTTCTGGCAACGGGAGATATTTGACCTCAAAGTTGTCAAATATTTGGATGAATCGAAAAGTCTAAAAACACAGTCGTATATTTGCCTCTGTTGATTGACAAGCCGTAAATCAAACTGACCGATACTCGCGGCGCCTATTAACTGAGGATGTAAAAATATGTGTGCAAATCCTCAGAGTTATCGGTTAAATACCATCGCAGTAAGAGCTTCATACATTTTACCTATTTGAAGCGATTTCCTTGGTGAAAACCTAGAAAAACCGGGGGGGGGGGTCTATCTCGCCCCGGAAAAACTAAAACAGAAACCAGTCTGATTATTTTTAGTTTTGAGGTAGACCCTTTAAATTGGCAAAGTTTCACTGAAATCGGTGGGTTGACACGTAGCACGACTGCTGGTGTTCTCGTGGACACGCTCTTAAGTCACTATTTGGCTGTTTTAAAAAGAAGGATCAGGACTTAACTAACTCTTAGTGTTTTTGTGGGAGTTGTTGATCCCAATTTAAATGTTCTTGGAAGTTTTAGCTGTCTTTAAAGCTAAATAAATCTAACTGAAACCTAATAGGGCCTGTTTATTCTTTTCCGTTTAGTTTTTTTGTTTTGTTTTATTTTGTCTTTTTTTTCTTCTGGTCTGTAATGTTTTCAATGGTTTCAGCTTCTTTTCTCAGAATTGAGCTACAGTAATAGTATGCTTCTTTGTGTTGTTGCCTACAGGAGCCAATGCTTGTGTTGAATTGAAGAGATTTGAAGAAGCAATCAGTTGGTGTGATAAGGGACTAGCTGTATCCTTTGAAGGAATCTTTCATTTTTAACCGTGGGTATAATGGAAATAGTTTCCATAATTTGATGTTTCAAGGTATTAATTATGATGGGAACTTGTCAGCTCACATACTTTAAGTGTGTGTTATTAAGAAACGTAGGAAAAGTTATTACCTCATGACTTATTAAAGATATTACTCCTTTTAGCCAATTTGACTTAGTTATACTATCCATGCCAATAACTGGTACATTAGTTTAGATAACCCTTTAATTCACAGACCAAGTTTGTAATTATCCTTACTGTTAACCGTACGATTTTTGTAATGTTAGTTCAAAGAATTCAGCATTGGATCAACTAATGATCCCCAAATTGATATTTTTTTTTTACTCTCAACACTTATCTGATTGATATTGTATTGCTATTGTAAGGAGAAATTCTCTTTTGGTCACTCATGGGAGTTGAAGGGTTAAAAGACTAATATTCATCCAGTTTATACATGGTACGTGGGTAGATGATCTCTCTAAAACAAGCCAGACCAAAAAGCTCGGTAATGTTTACATATCTTATACAGATTTTCTTGCCTTCGACCTTTTTCCACTACTTAGAGACTCGGAAACTTTCGTCGTGCTTTCCTATGGACAAATAAAAATTTTAAAGACGCGTACTTGTGTTGTAGACTCATTTCTTTCACTGCTGTAAAAAATTCGTCTGATGTTAAAGCTATATTAATTTAAAAATTGAGCAAGTGCTGCTCAGTTTTTGGAAAGTAGGGATTAAATCTAGATATTTCGCGTTAAATTTTGAGGCTGCACACAGAATAAACATTTTTTTTGAAGTGTAGATTTACTTCATAACTGACTTTAAGACTGAATGTTGATAAATCATCTACCTTTCATGCTAAGCCCTCCTAATGGGCCATTTTATAGTTGTGTACTTAGTTGCCAAGCCTTTTATTTGGAGTGAGGCTGAAGGTGACCTTGTTGTGATAGAGACCAGTATCTAAAAACGATAATAACAAAGTAGTTTGCAATTAAAAAGCAACAATGTTTTTATCATAACAAGGTACCCCTTAATCATCGCTCTTGTTCAGAGGCTTGGGAACCAAGCACGCAAATGTTGAAATGGACTATTACATATCAATATGACCAGAAACATAATCTTTTTTGTTTTTTCCACATTATAACCCTTAACATAAAAAAGATTGACAAAAACAATAGGATCTTGTTGTCATTAAGACTTCAGTCTGTCAGTGAAGTGGGAGATAAGTCCATGGAGGAAAAAGATCCTATTAGTCATGACCACGGTAGTGCAAGTTCAGGTGATGTCAAGAAAGTCATAGATCTCTATAATCGGGGAGAAGAAGCCATAGAGTACCTCAACCTATATCTAAAAAAAGCTAAAGAAGTAGGAAACAGGCATGGGGAGGGTAACGCTTATGGCAATCTTGGCAATGCTTATTTTAGTCTGGGTGATTTCAAAAAAGCCATAGAGTACCACAACCTACATCTTAAAATAGCTAAAGAAGTAGGAGAGAAGCATGGGGAGGGTAACGCTTATGGCAATCTTGGCAATGCTTATTTTAGTCTGGGTGATTTAAAAAAAGCCATAGAGTACCACAACCTACATCTTAAAATAGCTAAAGAAGTAGAAGACAAGCATGGGCAGGGTAACGCGTATGGAAATCTTGGCAATGCTTATTTTAATCTGGGGTATTTGAAAAAAGCCATAGAGTACTACAACCTACATCTTAAAATAGCTAAAGAAGTAGGAGACAAGCATGGGGAGGGTAACGCTTATGGCAGTCTTGGCAATGCTTATGACAGTCTGGATGATTTCAAATAGCCATACAGCACCACAACCTACATCTTAAGATAGCTCAAGAAGTAGGAGACAAGCATGGGGAGGGTCGTGCTTATGGCAATCTTGGCAATGCTTATGATAGTCTGGGTGATTTCAAAAAAGCCATAGAGTACCACAACCTACATCTTAAGATAGCTAAAGAAGTAGGAGACAAGCATGGGGAGGGTCGTGCTTATGGCAATCTTGGCAATGCTTATCAGAGTCTGGGTGATTTTAAAAAAGCCATAGAGTACCACAACCTACATCTTAAAATAGCTAAAGAAGTGGGAGACAAGCATGGGAAGGGTGGTGCTTATGGCAATCTTGGCAATGTTTATCAGCGTCCGGGTGATTTCAAAAAAGCCAAAGAGTACCACAAACTACATCATAAAATAGCTAAAGAAGTAGGAGACAAGCATGGGGAGGGTCGTGCTTATGGCAATCTTGGCAATGCTTATCACCGTCTGGGTGATTTTAAAAAAGCCATAGAGTACCACAACCTACATCTTAAAATAGCTAAAGAAGTGGGAGACAAGCATGGGGAGGGTGTTGCTCATGGCAGTCTTGGCAATGCTTATTTTAGTCTGGGTGATTTAAAAAAAGCCATAGAGTACCACAACCTACATCTTAAAATAGCTAAAGAAGTAGGAGACAAGCATGGGCAGGGTGCTGCTTATGGCAATCTTGGCAATGCTTATCGCAGTCTGGGTAATTTCAAAAAAGCCATAGAGTACCACAACCTACATCTTGAAATAGCTAAAGAAGTAGGAGACAAGCGTGGGGAGTGTAACGCTTATGGCAATCTTGGCAATGCTTATTTTAGTCTGGGTGATTTCAAAAGAGCCATAGAGTACCAGAACCTACGTCTTAAAATAGCTAAAGAAGTAGGAGACACGCTTGGGGAGGGTGGTGCTTATGGCAATCTTGGCAATGCTTATTTTAGTCTGGGTGATTTCAAAAAAGCCATAGAGTACCACAACATACATCTTCAAATAACTTTATATGTAGGAGACAAGCATGGGGAGGGTGGTGCTTATGGCAATCTTGGCAATGCTTATGGCCGTCTGGGTGATTTGAAAAAAGCCATAGAGTACCACAACCTACATCTTAAAATAGCTAAAGAAGTAGGAGACAAGCATGGGGAGGGTAACACCTATGGCAATCTTGGCAATGCTTATTTAAGTCTGGGTGATTTCAAAAAAGCCATAGAGTACCACAACCTACATCTTAAAATAGCTAAAGAAGTAGAAGACAAGCATGGGCAGGGTAACGCTTATTGCAATCTTGGCAATGCTTATTTTAGTCTGGGTGATTTCAAAAAAGCCATAGAGTACCACAACCTACATCTTAAAATAGCTAAAGAAGTAGGAGACAAGCATGGGGAGGGTGGTGCTTATGGCAATCTTGGCAAAGCTTATGGCCGTCTGGGTGATTTAAAAAAAAGCCATAGAATACCACAACCTACATCTTAAATTAGATAAGTCCATGGAGGAAAAAGATCCTACTAGTCATGACCACGGTGGTGCAAGTTCAGGTGATGGCAAGAAAGTCATAGATCTCTATAGTCGGGGAGAAGAAGCCATAGAGTACCTCAACCTTTATCTAAAAAAAGCTAAAGAAGTAGGAGACAAGCATGGGGAGGGTAATGCTTATGGCAGTCTTGGCAATGCTTATTTTAGTCTGGGTGATCTCAAAAAAGCCATAGAGTACCACAACCTACATCTTAAAATAGCTAAAGAAGTAGGAGACAAGCATGGGGAGGGTAACGCTTATGGCAATCTTGGCAATGCTTATTTTAGTCTGGGTGATTTGAAAAAAGCCATCGAGTACCACAACCTACATCTTAAAATAGCTAAAGAAGTAGGTAACAAGCATGGGGAGGGTAACGCTTATGGCAATCTTGGAAATGCTTATAACAGTCTGTGTGATTTCAAAAAAGCCATAGAGTACCACAACCTACATCTTAAAATAGCCAAAGAAGTAGGAGACAAACATGGGGAAGGTGGCGCTTATGGCGATCTTGGCAATGCTTATCACAGTCTGTGTGATTTCAAAACAGCCATAGAGTACCACAACCTACATCTTAAAATAGCAAAAGAAGTAGGAGACAAACATGGGGAGGGTGGTGCTTATGGCAATCTTGGCAATGCTAATTGCAGTCTGGGTGATTTCAAAAAAGCTATAGAGTACCACAACCTATATCTTAAAATAGCTAAAGAAGTAGGAGACAAGCGTGGGGAAGGTAACGCTTATAGCTATCTTGGCAACGCTTATCTTACTCTGGGTGATTTCAAAAAAGCTATAGTCTGTACCACAACCTACACTACATCTTAAAATAGCTAAAGAAGTAGGAGACAAGCATGGGGAGGGTGGTACTTATGGCGGTCTCGGCATTGCTTATGACAGTCTGTATGATTTCAAAAAAGCTATAGAGTACCACAACCTACACTACATCTTAAAATAGTTAAAGAAGTAGGACACAAGCATAGGGAGGGTGGTGCTTATGGTAATCTCGGCAATGCTTATGACAGTCTGTGATTTCAAAAAAGCCGTAGAGTACCACAACCTATATCTTAAAACAGGTCAAAAAGTAGGAGACAATCATGGGGAAGGTGGTGCGTATGGAAATCTTGGCAATGCTTATCACAGTCTGGGTGATTTAAAAAAAGGCATAGGGTACCACAACCTATATCTTAAATAGCTAAAGAAGAAGGAGAGAAGCATGGGGAGGGTAACGCTTATGGCAATCTTAGCAAGGCCTATCGCCGTTTGGCAATTTTGGCAATGCTTATGACAGTCTGGGTGATTTCAAAAAAGCCATAGAGTACAACAACCTAGATTTTAAAATAGCTTAAGAAGTAGGAGACAAGCATGGGGAGGGTGTTGCTTATGGCAATCTTGGCAATACTTATCGCCGTCTGGGTGATTTCAAAGAACCTCCGAAGAAAAATCCTTGGAGGTAATGGTCTACTCTTCGTTAGGATGCGTTTTTGAGTCGCAGGGTGGACTGCCAAAAGCCGTTGAACTTTACCAAGCTAGCATAAATTTATTCAATTCCTTGAGAGTACTTGTAAAATCTGAAAATGAGTGGAAAGTTAATTTTCGAAATCAGTATCAAATGGCGTATACAGGTTTTTCTCAACCTTACATTCGGCGTATACAGGTTTGTGGAGAGTTCTCGTAGAACAAGCTAGTATAGATGAAGCCTTATTTGTTGTTGAGAAATGACGACCACAAGCTGTGACCGACCTTATGGAATCTAGTTTTTGTGGTGGAACAAGTCAGCACGAGACAGGCGATGAAGATTTAGCAGTCACTGCTAAGTCTTCATCGATTTGGATGAAACGTTTTTGAAAAGTTTTGAAAAACGTTTTATCAAACACCGTCTTTTAGGCAGTGGACAAAGGTGATGTCAATCTTTGGGTTGTGTCCGAAGGAAATAAGTTTTGTTAAGACAAATTAAACTCAAAGGTTTTGTTTCAGAGAATAGTGGAGCTAGCCAGTCCTTTGAGTCGTTCATGCTCGGTGTCTATACACAACTGGGTCTTCGTTATATCGTGAGATGCGAGAATCGATCTTGGATGCTTTGAGGGAGAGCCCTTCAAAAGTGGATGAGAAACCTAAAGAAGGCAACCCTCAACCTCCCGTCCAACAAAACGAATGCTTGAGCACTTTGTATAATAACGTCATGAAGCCGGTGGCTGACCTGGTTCAAGGGGATGAGCTATTCATTATTCCCGATGGACCCCTGTGGCTCGCTCCTTACGCTGCATTCAAGGATGGTAATTCTAAATACCTGTGTGAATCGTTCAGAATCCGACTCGCTCCATCGTTAAGAAGTCTTAGACTCATTGCCGATTGCCCAGATGATTATCACAAAAGCAGTGGAGCGTTATTTGTAGGAGATCCATGGGTAGCCGAGCTTACTAACACCAAAATAGAGAAACCCCTCGAGCAGCTTCCGTGTGCTAAAGAAGAAGTAGAAATGATCGGAAATATTCTGAATATCACGCCAATCACTGGCAGACAGGCCACGAAACGTGAGGTGTTGAAAAGACTCAGTTTCGTTTCCCTAGTTTACTTGGGGCACACGGATGTATGGAAACTGGCGAAATTGCTCTTACACCTGATTCAGACCGAATATCTTCTATGCCAACGGAGGAGGATTACATTTTAACAATTGAAGATGTGTTGAATGTTCAACTTTGCGCCAAACTTGTTGTGCTTAGTTGCTGTTACAGCGGTCGGGGCGAGATCAAGGCTGAAGGTGCGGTTGACATTGCGTGCGCTTTTATGGTTGCTGGTGCTCGGTCTGTTGTGGTGTCCTTGTGGGCGATTGATGACATGGCTACTCTCGAGTTCATGAAATGCTTTTATCAACACCTTGCAGAAGGTTAACCCGCAAGCGAGTATCTAAACCTGGCAATGAAAAGCCTCAGAGAATCAGACAAGTTTTGCGACGTCAAATACTGGGCGCCCTTTTTGCTGATTGGAGATGATGTCACTCTTGACTTCATGGCAAAGGAAAGAGAAAATTTGAATACAAAATCACACAAATGAAAATTTGTTTTTTGTTTTCATCTCAAAAAGAATAACACAAGAACTTGGAAGGTTTAAATGTTTCTCTTATTTGGCAATTTTACTTTTTTGTAAAATGGAACTTGAGATGTGTAACGTTACTTTGGCGAAGAAATAAAAACAGGCTATTTGATGGTAGTTTGATCAGTGGAATATTCTTTTGTGTTACCTTTACAAATTTAAATGCTTTCGAAGAGAACAAAATGTAACAAGGATTCTGTGATAAATGCCTACAGTAGTTGAAGGCGATTACGAGGTTTTGGTTTTCGCCAAAATGACACTCAGCCCTATTCTTATGTCACAATCAGTTGTATGGAAAACAATTTAAAGGTTTTTTCTTGTACTTAACCGGGAGCTTGTTCACCGGGTCCTAATTACCGTTATACTCTAAGATTTTGATTAGCAAAGAAACAGTTCGTCATTTGCAAAAGCTGGCGAAATTTAATTTCTAAAAGCTTTGAATTGCAAAATTTGTAGTAATATGTTCATTAAACTTAGTTGATTTTTCTACGTCATGAACTACTTTGTTACAATTTGCAATTATCTTCACAAGAAAAATTGATTATTTTTTCAATTCATTTTAATGCAATGTAATTCTATCATAGCCAAGATTGCCACTCCAAGCTTAATTTAAAGAATTAAACATCAGAGATGATGTTTTTGAATTTACTGACCATATGTTAGAGATATAAGACCTACTTTTAGGGGTGTAGCCAGCCTTTAGTCCCGTAGGCCCGGCCTACAATTGTTTTCCGCCCGCTTGACTTCTATATTGTGACTCTTGCAAATGCTGAAACTATAATTGAAATGTCTCGGAGAACAGGCCCACAGCAAATCAAAAAGCTGGCTACGTTCGTTTCAAAGAACCACGACTGAGAGTTTACTGTAACTAAAGTTTCTATAGCTATGAATTTTAATGTATGTGACGCAGAATTTGTTGTTTCTAGTAGGAAAATGTTTACGCCAATGAATTCGAGAAAGAGTTCAAATAAGCTATGTATTTCTCGATGAGATCTATTTTGGGGAAAAGGTTCATGAATAAATATTTGAAAAGGTTCAGGGCTTCAGGGTAGAATTTTCAATTTTTGAAAATTCGCTGTTCAAATTTTTTTTATTGCTCTAACTTTACCTAAGTAGAATTTGAAGATGCCTGATAATATGTTTCTTAGATTTAAGAATTTATATTTAATAGGTAATCAGAGTACGCTTTGTAATTAGTAATTTTTTTTGTGGTCAAAAGTTTAAGAGACTGTATCACAGCTGTTTTAGAAGAGAGTTTTGTAAAATCAATCTTAATTTTGCAGATTTTCTTAACTACCATTGGTATATCCTGGTATAAAATGTAATAGTTAACCTCGCACATGGTTGAATATAATGTAACGTAGGATTTTAAAAACAAGTTGGGACAGTTTTAACTTGGCATGCTTTATACAATGTCAGTGTATTTCATGTGAAGTGTTTTGATGCTATTTTTATTTACAGTTGAAAATAATTGCTCATTTACCTTATTTTAATTAACTCATCAACTTCCAAGTTCTGAAGAAAAATTCTCCCAAGAGATAAGAATGTTTCTTTGTTCCTTCATTCCGAGGATTTAATGTAACATCACGTTTATATCAAAAAATTATCCTCCAGCTTAGATGTTCTCTAATTCTTACTGACACCATATTTTTCGGTGTATTAATACTGTGAGGAGAATTTAAATCATAATCAGTCTTGGGAGTAAACGGGTTCATTTTAGTGTCTCCGTTTAGCGCGTATTTTACTTAATGCCTTTGACAATTTAATGCAGTTTCTATTGTACCTTTTTATTTACTTCCTTGAGTAAAAGAAATATACAGTGTATAAAATACAAAAACCACGTTAATATTCATTGTCTGTCTCCATATTCTAAGGATTCACGTGAGATGTAGAGAGAACAGATCCTTTGGGGACTTCAATGCTTGTTTTCACCCGCGCGCACCAAGTTCATAATGTGTGCTAATAACAGTGACTAACATTTCATGTTTCAAGCCCCCACCCACTCAACAATTGCGCGTCATCTCTTTGATTGTATCTCTTCCACTGTCTGTCGTTCTCCATATTGTCACACGGTTTTGAACGCCGACGGACGTGTTCATACTTTTGCGCCTTCTTTACCTTTTTCTTTACACAAATTTTTACATCTTTTCACATTTGTGCGTCCCTTTTTACTGCTTCCTTTTGTTCCTTCCCTTTTTTTCATCGTAATTTTCCTTTATTCCCATCTTAACGCGCACTTCTTTCATCGCCCTCAACTTTATTCTTCTGCGGGCTTCATTAGACGCGACTATCTCCTGTTTTCATTCGTCTGAATCCTCGCGCAACGTCATGCTTCTTACAACTCATATACCTCCTTACTCCCCCACAGTAGTTTTTATCATGTTTATTTTATCATCTTTCGGATAGTGTCCTCTTAACGTCATCCCTAGTGAAAATCTCAGTTTTCCTTTCGACTGATTCCCAGGCCACAGGGTTTCTCAGTTTTAAGTCTCACGTGCCAGTGCTTGCTCTCCTCAGTCCTCTCATCATAGTTGCAGTTATAAAGCGGAACAGCTCCCTCCAAGTTTAGGCGACATAATCAGTGCATTTTGTTGGAAACGAGTCCTTCAATGTCCAAATTATAAGGCTTCTCCTATCATCTGATTGGGAATGGGTCAAACTCTCGCCCAGGGTTCACCTACATTGCGAATCCAAGATGGCGGCAGGCCAATCCAAAGACTCCACAGAGTCGCTAGCCGCCATCTCGGATTTAGGCTTAGAGGAGATCCTGGAAAAGAGTTTTGACAAAACAATAATTTAGAAAAGATAGGTTACTATAGTGCTTAGAGAGATAGTCGATAACAAATTGAAAGATTCATTATGAGCAAGCACGTTCCGTCGATCATTCGACTCCATGTCTCCCAACATCGTAGAATAAATTCCTCGAATACACACGCCTATATGCCCCTCTCCCCCCTCCCTTCATTAACACTAGACATCCCTCTACTGCAACTTTTATCGTTATACAGCACAATACAACATTATACCCCTGACTAGCACTATAAATATGTCCGTGGACATTGCCTGTTCTAAGATGCGAAAACTGAGACCTTCGAGGGACAGACAATGTCCAAGAACAAATATCCGTACATATTTTTGCGCAAAATAGAGGCTATTGTGTTTTTTATCCTTCAAATATTTTGCAACGCACTTGGAAAATGTTTACGAACAGCTTACTGAATTGAATGACTAAAGGGGGTAATAAAGAGCGTTAGCCCTTCGTCAGAGCAATCGCAGAGTGCTAACGCTCGAAACGTGAGCTTTGAATTTACGTAATCAACGCCCATCTTGCCAGTTACACAAAGAAATCAAGAGAGTGAGCAATACTCACAACAAGACACATATCTCAGTTATAAAAGTAAAAAGATACATGACAGGGTTGACTCAAGAGTACAATTGGTATGGAGGCTCTGGGTAATGGGCTCCTGCCAATACATTAATTGTATTCACCAGCGACCTCGGCGGGGAAAACTAGAGGACGGATGTTTTTCGAAACGGATGCGATGCGTGACTCGAAAGTATGAATAATACTGTCCCATTGTTTTCTGCTGACGTCTCTAGTGCACGCAAATCTAATAAAAGGACTGTTAAAGGGCTATGAAAGGAACTCAGACTCAAATGTTTACTCTACGTTCCAGTACTGTTGTCAGCGACATCCAGTGACACCAGCCTTTAATGTAGGTAACGAATTTTCTTAATAGCAACATTGAACATCAATGTCAGAAGTTTGATTGGGATTCTGACGAGTCATCAGTAGCACAAGAAATCACGTGAGAAAGCACTAACCGCCCGAGAGATCAGTCTTAGTAGCCTTGAGTGTGCTATCAGGACAGTAGCACTAGATTCATAGGGAGGGATAAACCTTCTGGGTCTGGGCGTGACTTCTTGTGCTAGTGATGACTCGGCAGAATCCCAATCAAACTTCAACTTACAAGTAAGTCTCGTTTAATCTTAAATTCTGCCTCGTCATCATGCGCACTGACGAAGTCACGTGAGATTTCAAAGCAACTGATTGCACACTAGTGAGTAAATTTATTTATTGCCCCAGAACTGCCTCATTGAAGGTAACATCCGATACTATTTCCTTATCATAAAATGTTGCAAAAGTGGCCGCTGAGGACCATCCAGCAGTTTTCATAATTTCATCAAGGGAAGTATGATTTGTTTTAGCTTTGGATGTTGCAGCAGAGCGTACACAGTGTGGTTTATATACAGAGACATCCACACCAGCTAACTTCATTAGTGACTGTATCCATCTTCTGATAGAGTCTTTACTAGCCCTTCTATGGGGTTTTTGATGAGTCAACAGTAAACGGGTTTCTTGTCCCCTCAGCAAACTGGTTTTTTCAATGTAAACTGAACATGTGTGAAAAACTCAAAGTTTTTCCTCTAACGGGTTGGCCTTTAACTTAACTATGCGGTCTGAAAGTGAACTAGTGGGCCTACTTTGCTTAATGTTACTATCAATAATAAAAACAAGACAATTATCCTCTTTAACCAATCCTTTAAGATCCAATAAGTGAGTAGTTTGTTCTCTACATGCTGTGGTAAGTGCTATAAACATAACTAGCTTTAAGGTCAGTTCCTTAATCGATAGTTCTGTTGCCTTTCCCATGCCCCGCAAGTACTGTAGTACAACATTTACATCCCATGTCTTGTTGTATCTGGGCATAGGTGGCCTGTTCTGATAAACACCCTTCATAACGCGTTTAACGTCTGGGTGTTCACCAAATGTGTAGTTACAATTACTTGAAGTCTGTAAGATGGTTAAAAGAGCTGAACGGGCTGAATTAATACCACTATAGCTCAATTAGCAAAAAAAATTCTAGTGCGTCAGTTATATTTGTGTAAATTGGATCAATTTTCCTTGCAGAACAGAATAGGATCCATTTGCGAATGTGCACATCATATTGTTCACGGGACGAGTCCCTCCATGAGTGCATGATAATGTCGGTTGTTTTCTTAGAAAAACCTCTGTCTTCGTAAAGTTTCCTGACAAATGACATGCCAAGAGAGTCAGTTTCTCCCGTAATGGGTGTAGTTGTTGAGTCCCCGGAAAAACCAACAGATCCCTCTTGGGGTGAATAACAATGGATGCCTCCACCAGCAGTCTGAGTAGTTTGGGGTAACAGCTTTGGCTCATCCACCGTGGCACTATAAGAATGCCCTCTGCTTGGTTTGCAGGTAATTTCTCCAGACATCTCCCAATTAGACTAAAAGGAGGAAATGCATTAAAGAATAAATTATTCCAATTTACAGAAAATGCATCCACGAACAAAGCTTTCGGGTCTGGACGCCATGATGAGTATTTGGCATATTGTTTATTCAAACGAGATGCAAAGAGGTCAATTTCAGGACTACCAAACTTATTGGTAATCGTCTTGAATATCTGTGGATCTAACATCCACTCTGTGCGGTCATTAAATACCCTAGATTCTGCATCAGCTTCTACATTTTTACATCCAGGTAAATATGTAGCGCTGAGCCGGTTATTATTAGCAATACACAGGGCCCAGATTTGTTTACTTACCTCATTACATGGAATGGATTAACTTCCACCAATGTTATTTATGTAGTAAACTGCAGTAATCCATCTACCTCCTGCTCTCTGGTCGCCATGCACCCCTCCCCAACCTTGAGAAGAGGCATCAGTTTGAATTGCTATATCAGCTTCACCATGTGAGATTGCTTTACAGGAAAAAGGTAGGTTTGCAATTCACCATTGCAGTTCCTCTCTTAAATAAACAGATAGAGTTATTTCACTAGAGAAATTTCCTTTAGTTTGTCTCAAACCCTCAGTTTTCTCAAAGTCAAGGCTACGGCGGGGAAGCTGGAGACCATAAGCCATATAACCTCTGTTAGATGAAGTATGGTGGGATGGGAGTTACTGAGAAGCTTTTCACGTGCTTAGACCACCTTCTCAACTCTAGCATGAGAGAGTCGTACCGTCATTGACACTGAGTTCAGGACAAAGCCTAAATATTCCAGTTGTTTAGAGGGATGCAGACAAGACTTTTCCTCTTGGATTACAAATCCAAGATCTCTAAGCAGTTGCACTGTGTTCAAGGCATTTTCATGACACTCATGAAAGGTATCTCCTTGCAGATAAAGATCATCTATGTATGCAGATGACAAGAGGCCTTTTTCTCTAAGTACTTTAAACACAGGTTTAAGCAGCTTGGTAAAATATACGGGGTGCAGAGCTTAACCCATTTGGTAGACAAACATATTGATAGAGGTTGTCCCTCCACACAAACCTGAGAAATTTCTGGTGCTCTATAGCAATTAGTACTGAATAGTAGGCATCTTTGATGTCTATTGATGCCATAAAACAACCTGGTGTAGTAAGTTCCAGGACTGAATTCAAGGATTCCATTTTAAAGTGTTTGTATACAACAAACTTGTTTAGATCTTTTAGATTCAAGATCATGCGATGATCAATTTTATTCTTTTTCAGTCTGCAAAATATTGGAGATATGAACTCCCCCTCTAAGTGGGAGCATTTCTCTATTACTCCTTTACTAAGGAGTTTCACAATTTCTCCATCAATAATGGATAGCTCTGATTGGTTGAATTTAGATACCTTATGACCCCTAAGTTGAATAGGCTCAATGTCATTAATAAATTTAACATGACAATGTTGTACCCAGTCAAGCACCTCTGGGTCAGAGGTTATTTTATGCCATTCTGGGACAAACAATAAATGTGTTTTTTTACCTGTTGGGTTGTTTTTGAGGGGTCTTGAGACCTTATTTGTGCTTCTTCCCCTACTCCTTTTGTTTGTGAGTTGAGAAACTGGGCCTTTTGAGTTTAAATGTTGATTTTGTGAGTACTTGTAACCAAACTTCCTGCCTCTATTATTCTTGTAGGACTTATGGCTGTAATTTTAACCTCTGTATGAATCTTGTTTTGATTCGCTGTTCTTGCTTATTTTCTTGCTAACCTTAGTGGCTTCAGCTAGATCTTTTAGCTGCTTAGAGAGGTCAGGGTCATCTCTCCGAATAGGAAATCTGTGAATGGCACTGTAGGTGAACATAGATGTTTGTAGTCTGCATTGAGCTCTGGTTTCATGTTATCTCTTCTTTGCATATTGAGGCCAAAATTTGCTGCTCCAAACAAGGCTACTGAGTCAGTGGCCGTTCTAATTAGAGATGAGATATCTAGTAATTCTTCTGATTTTTGTCCTGGACTTTGACCAGTTGTTCAACTACCAGTACGATGGGAATGATTCCCTTCCGTAAATTGGCCTGAATACGCTGCTGAAGCTTTAAGTCACTTGAGCGTGTATCGTGTTTTAATTTATCCCAGAGGAGATGGTTAACCTGGGTTGGCTCCAAGCACTCGCAATTTTCTGGCCTGGTATAACGATTTTTCGTTTCTGTCAATACATCGTCATCAAGTTTGACACGCATGACCTCTTTCAGTATTCCCGCGAATTTTGTATTCTTTTGGCCCAATTTTAAATTACTCGCAATTCCTGCAAGAGTTGAGTTTTCCTCTTTGAAGGACTCAGGGTCTGTTGGATTAGTATTATTTGTCAACGTCAGCTGATCGTTGACGTTAGTAGCGTTGCTGGACCCCGATAGGTTTTGGTCCTTAGTGCTAGCGCTGTCTTTGTTCGGCGCCTTATCGGTCTCTTTCTCCGCGTCGGAGTTTACCGAGCCTTCTTCTTTGGCAGATTCCTCGACGTATGCGAGGTTTCCTAAGGTCTCCTTCATCTCAGTAAATGAGTGATCCATTGAGGAGTTGAGTGTGGTAATAGAGGACACTAGTTGTTTAATCATAAGCAAGATTGCTTCGATTATAGAGTCGGGTTTCCCGAGTGAGTTTGGCAAGTCGCCATGTTTGCTTGAGTCAAACGCTGATATTTCTTTGATAAGGTAGCTGAGAAGAGTTTCTCCTGTTTTTCTTTGATTGTATGACAGTTTACGTCGGCGTTGAAAGGTTTTCTTGATTTCCAAGTTAGATTTCGTATTTCTCGACCGTCTCAGGCAAGGCGGGAAAATGCATTGATCTCTCGTGCGGTTAGTGCTTTCTCACGTGACTTCGTCAGTGCGCATGATGACGAGGCAGAATCACGTGATTTTACCCCTATGAGGGAGACGCGATGGCGTAATGGTTAGTGCGCCGGACTACGGGTCAAGAGGTCTGGGTTCGAAACCTGGCCAGGTCATTGTGTCGTGTTCTTAGTTTGTTGGTCGGGATTAAGAAATAGTAGTTAAATAATAAAGTAAGATGAGATCGTAGCTCTTCTGAGTCACTTTGACTTGAGGTGGCAAAAGTCATCTGTTTGTGCTTACGTCATTACTTTAATGGAAGATATTCTTCTATTGTTGCCAGGTTGAAAATATTTTTTTAAAAAAATTAGCAATAGTTTTCTGAATTCAAAATCATTCCCATACATCTTAATTTTTAGTTCAGTATGTCCTGCATTAGTAAGGATACCTCAAGGAATGGCTACAAAATCCACAGTGGTCCCTCTCCTGCTTCCTGGCCCTGCTCTTCCCCCTCAGTGACCTGCAGGCGGAAGTGACTGGTATGGTTGAGATGAATGTCCTTGATAATCAACTGCAAACAGGACAAGTGGAGATGCCCACTCTTGTAGGTGCGGTAAAAGACAATGGTGTCGTTGATGATATACTCGAGGAAGGTGAACAGCAACAAGAAACCATTTCCAGGCAAGGTGAACAAATTGGTAAACGCAAGATCGCTAAGGTGTTTTGCGATCGTGGTAGCCAGACGAGACTGCGTTCACAATCTATCTCTAGGGACGCAGAAAGTTTGAATTCACATTTCTAATTCCAAGTGAGTAGAAAACGAGCGCAATGTTTTAAAATAATTTTACAAAGCTATTGTCCATTGAACTGAGCTACGCTGACAGTCTCCTTCATAGGGGAAAGCAGTTTAAAACTTTAGCATGGAGGCTATGCATACTCTTTTCTGGGAACTAGGAAGGAGCACCAAGGAATACTTTTTAGTTGATTGATGTAAGTCTTCACTAAACATTTTTTGCGGCTCATGTCATATTAGTTAATGTTCGCCTCTCCTTTTCAGATTTTCGTTATCAACGCATATATGTCACCTATAAAGGATTCTTTACAAAACGATGTAATCTAGTAGAGTATCTCTGTCTAATCCGAAGAGCTAATGATAATTCTATCACTCCAAAAGACTTAAACCCCTTAACTCCCAAGATCTGATTGTTAATTCTCCTCTCTCGCTGCTACACATTTCCTTTTAACGAGCTGTTCAATCAATTGATTTATGCATACGGTATTTCATTTTCGTCAAACGTTTAAACGTTAATTCATATGATCAAATTTCTTTCAAACAAAGAACACAAATCAAGAAGAAAACGGCTTTGTATGGAACGTGAACTCGGTAGACTGGAAAAACGTAAAATAATTAAAAAAATGTAAAAATTATAAAAATAAAGTATAGCTAATCAGATCGTATGAAAGTGAGAGAATAATGTTATGTGAAGCGCTCGAGAAGTATTTTAGTAATGTTAAGGTATGTGTATACGAAGTATACTGAGTTTTTGGGAGATTTCTACTCCAAGCGCAGTCTATTATGTATATTTTGGTTGCTCTTGGCCTCGCACCGGCGGCAGGCATTGTAATTAACAACGTATGAATAAATAGGTTTAGTTTCTAAGGAAATTGTAGTGCTGCGTTGGTAGAGTTCAAATAACGCGAATATATATATGTTATTTGCCGGCTGGGAGGTCCGTATGGTGAAAAACTGTGACCGAGGTCACAGTTTTTCACCATACGGACCGACCCTTAGCCGGTAAATAACATATTTATTTTTTTGAAACTTGACGAAATTCTTTCCGAAAGAACCCGAATGATTTAGGGCTGTAAATACGGCAAGATCTTTCATAAACTGAACAGTTTTTGAGCCAGTAAATGGTAGTTAAATAGAGGTGATGCAAATTCAAGAGAGATGCCTCAGCGAAACATTTTCATTTCCGTAACGATAATTTAAAAGACTTCCAAACAAACTTTGAAACATTATTTTTACAAGTATCTGTCACAATCTGACAGCTGTCAATTAGAGAGCGCGTAAGTAAAAAAAAGTGTAAGAACATTTGAAAAACAACGGAACTAGTTTGGCAAGGACTGTCACGACAATGTTCTATTCAAAAACAGTCAATGATCTAACGGAAAGTATTATTCACTCTCATCGACGATTCATTCATATACGAAGATTTACCTCTGTTCATTAAGTAAACAGTGAGGAAAGTAATTGTGAGTAAATTCAATTATTTTTATTTTGAAGTTGTGAGAGTTTGCTCGTTTTTTTGCTGCAATGGCGTGTGTAAATCTGGTCTTTCCTTCACTAAAACTAAATTCGAATGGCACACTCCAACGAGACACAAGGGGATTTGATGCGGCCTTTTCTAAAAAAATTCCTTCAGTTTCTGTTGTGCAATTTACGGTAGATTTTCAAATTGAACGGACTTGGAAAGGCTCACCGAGAGCGTTTATTTGTTGTAGAACTTAAATTAAAACTTCGCTCGCTCTTTCACTGCGAACAAATTGCTTGAGAAAATTCAGGTATTAAATGAATGAAAGTTCCATCGTTCAGTTTAACTGTAACCAAATACCTCTCGTTTTAACTTTTTAGGTACTTTTTGTGAACGATTAAAATTAACTGCAGGCAGGTTTTAGGCCGCTTGCCAACCAACGTAATGACACTATTGTTTATACAAATTTATTCTGAAACCAATATTTTTCTGTCAACCAAAGTGATTTGAGTGAGAGAAAAGAAAGGATTCATAAGTTATTCATCGGCTTGAGGTAGTGACCGACGTGTTTGCTTAAAAATACTGCCCAGCCGGAAAAACGAGATATATTTATGAAAAATGGCAACGAAAGTTGGGATGTACTTGGCGACTTACGAAAGCGTTACCGTGGCCCGTGGGCAGAGAAAGGAAAATACTGACCGGGTAAGGAACCAATCAGATTGCAAAATTCGTTACTGTGCCCTCTCAAAAAAAAAAAATATATGTTTATACCACATTTGTACAGTTGGTTATTTTATACTGTAAAAAAATCTGTTTAACCGGCCGGCTGCGCACGCTGCGCTTCTCTATCCACTTTGCTTTTCCCGCCTTATGAGAAATGAGAAGAAAGACTTGGCGGAAAAAAAAGCAGTTGGATCATAAATAACCTAGTAGACTATTCATTGGTGTGTAGTATTGCCTGGTGCTTTCACTCTTTGATTGAATTTGACGAGCCAGTGAGGGAAGTCAAAATACGGCACAGCTCCTAAAAATACTCAGGTATGTCACCGCCAGATAAAGAAAATCCGAAAAAATCACCTTGAATCTTATTTCGCAAGATAATCATCTCACGGCTGGAGCTTGGGCTGCCTGTGGTGTGAGTTCAGATAAGTTAAGTTTTTTTTCTCTCAAGGTGAAGTAACGCGATATTTTCGTCCGTCTGAAAGTCATGCTCTTTTTCTGTTACATGCCTACCAACTCACGTTCCATCACTGACGTACCATAAAAACAACGTCCGAAGTCCGCTAGAACATACCCAATCATTGCACTACACGAACATTAGTCAATTTTTTACGTGCTTGAATTGTATTCCACCAACCAAATTAACATTTACGCGCGTCCGGGTATTATTCACTATTCATGACTCATTTCCTCGGGAAAGTTAACAATGTATCATCAACTTTTGGTTTTCCTGAGAATGTCACGCAATGGTAAAAACATCAGTATGGTCGTGAAACAAAAAGTGAGTCATTTGCATCCTGTCGCGGTCGAGTACTAGGAAAAGAGTATCCCTTCGACACCGTTCTTGTTACAAGTCACCTTCTGAAGAACTCATCAAAATATCTTCGGTCTTGCAAAATTTTACAAATTTAACAGGTTCTTAAGGACGAATTCCACGCTCCGTCGTTGACGAAACGTCGTTTTAAGGTAAGCTCTGAAATAATTCATTAAACCAAGTGGATTTTTGTCTCACCCACTCGCAGTGTTCCATCAGTAACATTGCCAGCTTGTATTAACAAAGAAAAACTTTTTACATTGTAAAATATAGACAATCCGGTATGAGGCGTGGGGTCTTGGTTTCATATAGGTCTTTCAGTAAAGTGAGCCGGCAACAACACACTAGGCCATACGATCGCAGACAAGAGCAAGTTATGAAAATGTTATCGATCTAAAGTGTTGTGTCCCTGCTTATTCTATTTTTTTAGAAGAATATTTAGTGAGAACCGAGAAAACTGAGTCTTACGAGATAATCTGAAGCCTTTTTCCTTTTTATTTTGATTATAAACTACCGTCTACGTGTTACATCCTGTCGCATTATAGAAATTGAAAGGGGAAACAGTTGTCACAAACACATGTTTCGAGGGGTAGATGTAAAAGCTCCTTGCTTATTAAATGATACAAAACTTGGCAGGTATTTTCAGTCAGAGAAAAATTTAAGGCGACAAATCAAAATACGAATTCTTGAACACATCATTTGACTTCTTTTGAAAAAATGTAGGTTTAATTAAGTCAACAGCGTAACTGAATATTTATCAGCCCACCTGTGGAAAATGAAAATAGCTCGCATATAGATTTTGGAATAAATGATCGTCTTCTTTGCTCTTTTTTCTGTCCTAAATTACATTACATTACAGACATTGATTAACGAGTGAACCACATGCTCCTCGTTCTTGTTCGTCATAACTCGAGTCGGAAATTTAACGAAAATTTGAAATGCATTTGTTTGTTCCACATAAAATGATGAGTGCACCACGTGATACCCGTTGGTGATTT